AAAAATAAGTAGTAAAGTAAAGTAAAAATATCAGAAAAATACTTGAGTACAGTAACGAAGTATTTGTACTTCGTTACTTCCCATCTCTGATTATCAACCACTTAATATGTTTAAAAACTCAATTTCCATCCAACTGAAACATCCAGAGAAGTGCTTTCTTTTGCATGGAATGTTTTTATAGACTCTACATCCCCCTGGAAGGTCTGAATTGTTTAGCTGTTTTGTCAATTGTAAAAAAAACTAAGATAATGACTTAGCTTCCTTAGCTTATTACCGAATATTCATACATAATGTAATTTGCATGGGATTCGATGTCAGTGGCTCCTGTTTTAGTGCCAGTAATCAAGTAATAATTTTTTAGATTAGCATTGGGTATTTTACTTGAACTAGTATAATTAATTAAAAAAAGTTGTAAAATTCTTAGTTTAGACTATATTTAAGATGGAAGTATTTTAGTAGGGCCTTTTCTTCTTTACTTCACTTTCTTGAAAATTATCAAAATATAGGACATAATGTATATTGTGTGAAGTTTTTTCCACTTAACTACGGATAACTTATTATCATTCAGTAACATTTACAGTGCTATAAAAAAAATTCTCATTTTGCAGCTTTGTTCCAGTTAAATCCTCTGCAATCCTCTGAAAACCAAGGGTTGCCTGTCCAAACTATTTCAAAATTTCACTCCAGGGTTTGGTAAAAAGTTGGCGGCCCTGTTAACCAGTCTTGCTATGACCATTCCTGTCTCTATTTCACTAAAAGGGGGGAATACCAACAATCAGGGATTCACATCAGGGCAGTCAGAATAGATCTTGCTTTTGTGTAATAGACCAGGAAACAATGGTAAAAAAAAACAAGCTACATCCACATTAACACGCGTACGCACAACTCAAATTCTATCCTCTCTAAACAATAGAGGGGTGTAGAGAGGGTCTGAATGAGCTCTGACGATTCTTTCTCCTAAAAATCATAAAACATAAATTTGAAGGATTGCATGAGTAAAATACCACATTATGACTCCTTTAAAACTTCTATTGTGTGTAGTTTACAACGTTTTGATGTCCTGTATTTACCAATTAAGCATCAACTGGTAAAAAGTTACTGTTTTACAACCATAAAAGAAAACCTAAATGTTTCAAAGTCCATCATAGAATGTAGTGCAATAGTGACAAATTAAACTTTGACACACTTTTATATTGCAGTGTTTGATGTTTTGTGTGTCACAAAATAAACCAAATAAATTAAAGCCCCTAGCGGAGTGGAAGGAGAAAAAACAACAAAATGGAAAATACGCCATCCTTGACTTTTAATGAATTATTCAATGTGAAACGTTAACAAGAACATTTAAATGCGCTCCAAAGGCCGTTATAAAAATATGTCAGGCAATTAAATCTCACTACTACTGGCTGTAAGAGGCCTTAAGGAAAGTGGACGATCCTTTTATGTCCATCTTAATTGCAGTGAATGAATGAGGTGTGCGTTAAGATTTGTGTTTAAGGGCATCGAGGTTCAGTCAGATGAAGGTTTGCAAGCCAGCATGTAAAAGTAGTTTACTATCACCGTCACTTCTGTGTCGGGAGAGGATGCATTCATGGCACTCAGCAGTCTGAAATAAATACAAAAGGAAACTGGTTACAACTTATTTGAAAAGGCCTGCATATTGGATGAATTTAAAAAAAAAGGACCTAAATGATAAAATAATGGAGATGGAAGGAGACAGTGCCAGGAACTTTGTGTAAATGTTAACCCGCCGTTAAAGTAATTAAACCCAATGTCAAACTGCTTTTTTCATGCATGTAAAAGTTGTGCCTCAGCACTTCTACCACATATATTGTGCTAGCTTAGCTGTTCAGCCCTGTCACTAGCAGGGGAATTAATGACGGCTGTGTTATCGAAGCAGTCAAAACCTTCGACGGTTAAGCTTAGCCAAGCAATGCCTGGATTTTCTGATTAAAAGTCCAGGACCATGACTGTATTCACAGACACTTTTCAGCAGTTTTTGATAATGATGGATGGAACAACGGTGGAGATTATGAGAAGGGAGGTTAAAGATTGGGACCCGGTTGTTAACGGTCAGGCTGGGGGATGTTTGAGGGTGATAACTCACTTGTTCAGGATGCTATTTGAGAGACGTTCGGCTTCAGATGGGTCCTTTTGTTTTAGCTGCTGGTAGTTAGAGAAAGTTTCCACCATGCCTATAAACCCACTGACCGAAAGGGTCCGTCTTACTTGGCAGGACTCATTCCTACAAAGACATTCATAGTTACTTTGTATTTAAACTTAATATGACAGGCTACTAATGCATATTAAATCAATAAGGACTCACCATTCCTTGTCCAGGTAAGAGCAAGAGTTAAACATGTCAAAGTAGAGCTTCTTGGAGCTTGGTCCTAAATAAGAACTTCTGTAGGGCAGCAAGGCAGCGTAGAACTAGAAACAGAGTTTGACAGATTTCTTAACACAACCTATGAATGGAATTATTGCAGCAAAGTTTTCATTTGAACCGCTTCGTATGCTTTTACAAATGCATGGATGCTTAAGTCCTAAGATTTGTAACGGACCTCCTGGCAGATGTCATTAAGGGCGTCCGAAACATCTCCATATTCAAGGTTCATGTCCATGGTGTAGCTCAGGAGTGCAAGGCAGCCTCCAGGCCTGAGCACCCTGTCGGCCTCCTGGAGGAACCGCGGTCGATCGAACCAGTGGGCCGCCGTCATGGCCGTCACAAGGTCCACCTCGCCAGCTGTAAATGGTAACTCCTCTGCAGGGGACTGTCTGCGGTGGGAAACAGAAGAGTGGAGTGTGTTGTAGTCATTTATCAAAACCCCAAGCCTGCTTAAAATATCCATCAATATTAGATAAACTTTCTGCAGATAAACCACTTTACTTATTATGGCACAAATTTAGTCAGTGGTCTCAATAGTCATACATCAGAATGCAGTAAGGTAGCATAATTTCTAGAATAATGTCCTGCAACTGGAGAAGACAAAGTGTGCAAATTGTTATGTAAGTTACAGTAGGTAATGTTAAATGATACACCAATTATCTTTTGTTCCAGACTTCATTTTGTTTTTCTCACCACCACATCATTGCTGGTTATTTTCCCATTGAGTTCATTCGGTTTGCAACTTCTGATAGGATAGCAGTAGCTGCATAAAATGCTAGCAAGTTTGTTGAGCAAACATGAAATCACTATTCACCACAATATGACCATCCATTAGTGTCCTAATTATGTTGTAATTATTGTAATCAGGGTCAGCCCAAGGCATAAGTGAACTAAGTAACTACTTGGGCACCCAAGGTGAAAAAGGGCCGACAAGAACAAATAATTGTTTAGGTTGTTTGCATATATAATGATATCTATATAAAAATGTTAGCAAAAAACACAATTTTATCATAAGATTTTCCCTGATTGTGTAATGATTAATTAAAAATTACATTTTGTAGTCTTGCTGCCAAATTGACCCACAGATGAAGAAGAATCAGTTTGTAAACTTCTTAGAGGAAAAACGTATTTTTGCCCTTAGAGATAGAAATCATTCCAGACATCTCATATTAGATTGCTCAAAAAATCTGAATTCAACCGAAATCTTTGGGTTGCTCTAAGGATGACCTGCACTCTACCTGTGACTGTTGTGTCTGAAGAGTGGAGTTTTTCCAAACTCCAATTTATAAAGATCTACCTGAGATCTGAGACAGCAGAAAGATCTAGTTTTAACAACAAACCTGAGTGTCTGATTTCTAACAAGAGAAAATCTTGACAGCACAGGTTTTAAAGAGTTTTTAAAGTCTGCCTTTTTCTATGTCTGCTTCTGTCTCCTTGAACCCCAGTCGGCAGATGGCCGCTCACACTGAGCCTGGTTCTGCTGGAGGTTTCTTCCAGTTAAAAGGAAGTTTTTCCTCTCCACTGTCGCTACAAGCATGCTTAGTGTGAGGGATTGTATTTGAGTCAATGAGTCGATGCAATCAACTGGTTTTCCTTAGATAGAAAACTTTGAATGAATCTGACTGCATGATCTGGTTGAACTGTAAAGTGTAAGCTGCATATTACTTTATTTCATTGCATTTAGTAACANGCCATGTGATTGGCTGCTTAGAAATTAAGTGTTAGCGAGCAGTTGGACAGGTGTACCTAATAAAGTGGCCGGTGAGTGTAAATCAAACATAATTTTCGATACTAGGTCAGTAATCGAATATAAAACTAAATCATTAACACGAAGAATACTTTTATTTTTTCTCAGTTAGATTATAAAGCTAGTTTTGAAAGCACTAGCAACATTTTTGATTTTAACTACCGGTATGTAAATCACATGCTAAGTTCAATTCGATTCAGTTTGATAATATAACACCAATTCACAGCACTTTTAACTTCAAAGCACTTTAACAGAGAGTATTCAATCAGATCACTGGTTAAATCGGAGGTGTTGACAACAGCAGCCCAGCTGATATTTCCTTTCCAGATGGTGTCACAGTTAAATGGAACCAAACCAGATAAAGCTACTATGACAATTGGAGGAAAAGTGGTCCCTAAGTCCTCCAGCACTCTGAGCCTATAGCAGCATAACTAGACTTAGATTTAGACAGACTTTATTGTCATTTTGTACACACAGATTGTATACATGAAGAAATTTTATTCAGTAGAGCCCTCTAGTAATTTCCATTTTTTTAAGTTTGGCGAGAGTAGGGAGGTAGGGTCACTTAAACCACTCTAACTGTAAGCTGTAACAAAAATGAAAGTTCTGAGAGACTCTATGTTTAGGGCTGAACAGTTTTGTACTTTTGTACTTTTTTAATTCAAAAAAAGATTGCATAGTTTGTTTTTATGTTTTTTGTATGACTTTTTCTTTACAAAATTACAACTTATTCTATTTTTCTGCATGATGAACTCATCTGATGTTAGCAGGGGTATGAATTGGCAGGAATTTGGCAATTCGATATCTATCACAATACATTTGTCAAGATATGTTTAATCCCAATACATTAACAAGGATACTATAACAGAGATATTGCGGTTTTTATAATAATAAAGCTGTGGAAAAATTCACAAGATCTCATTGTTGCTCTGCTGCTGCTGGTGGACAGTAATAATAGACTGTTGAGTGATGCATCACCATCTGGTTGCTGTAGGCGTAAGAGTGTAAGGACGTTTGGCAAAATTTTGAATCAACAGTACCCTGTAATGAAATATCACCATATCCAACAGAATTTATTTTTTTTATAACATTCCTAGAAATTTTAGCTTTCAGTTGAAGGGACAGAGTATGCTAATAAAGCAGTTTTATTTACCTAGCAAAAGCTGTTTTTTTAGTACAAAAAGACATCAAGCATGGAGTTTGAAGTAGCCATCCTTGATTTTAGACTAGATATACCTACAGTACATAGTTTTCATGATTTCCACCCCCCTTGATGTTCCCAGAAGCCAGTTAAAGTTTGTCTAGAGCGAGTTCCTCCGATGGAATGCATCTCCAATTCTGTTGCCCCTCGACGACCAAGCTGTTATATATAGCCCTGTTAAGCTTACTTGTAATTCAAGAAACTCTTTGGCTCCTGCCTCCTCTACAAACACAAGTCCTCTGCTGTGGTTTCACTCTTTGGAAGTTCAAAGACATATTATTTCAGTCTAAAGAGTTGTTAAGGAAAGCTCTGTGCTTAAAACCTTGAAGCTTTCTCTCTCCGGTTATTTTCCTAAGAAGAGATCCCTTGGGACACACTCTCTAAATAACACCTCATAACTTATATGTATTAAATAACCATGAGACATGACAGCAGATTTGAAAAGAAATTGTAATCTTACTCAGATCAGAGAAATTGCTTAGAGTTGCAGAAGCCTCACAGGTCCAGGCTCACATCTCGTGAAGTGGCCTCGAGTCACAGTTAAAGAAGCATTCTATAGAACTCCAGTATGCCACATAATCACATCATTACATCATGCATGTTTATAAAAGAGCACACATCCTTCGCTCCAGCTGTATCACAACATTGCAGAGTGTGATAAAAACAAAGAGAACTCGCTGTTCAGAATGTTCCACTATATCCAGGCCCTAAATTCATTCTCAAATCTCTGTTATGTACATAATGAAGATGATAACTGTATATCCTGACAGAGAAACCATTTGGGAAACATTAGTTCTGACATGCAACAGGCAGGTATTACTAGGGTTTAACAGACTCATGTATCATCAACAAGAATAATTGTAACAGAATGGTGCAAAAGTATAAATTCATACACATTGATCCATAAAGTCTTACCTTCATGGTGTTGGACAGTTCAACATTGGAAACTTTGCTTCATTTGAGTGTCTCATCTAAATTATCCCAGAAAATGTCTGCTTTTTTGGCCTTTTTTTCAGAATCTATGAGGGACTTACTAACTGCACCTACCAGGTAGCCTTGAGGATGGACTGCTTCTGGCCCAACCAGGTGGTGGACGCCTTCTTCATGAAGATTCACCGCATGTACTTTCAGCACTGTGCTTTGACCGGCCGGCTCCTGCAGGAGCCACCCATCAGCATCCTTGTCCCCTTTATAGGCGTTTCCGTGATGATCACACTGTTGATGACTGCGGTAGTGGTGTGGAGGAGCAAACGCACACAGGGGATGCTGTAAAGATGACGAGGGTCCTCAGGACTTGGAGATGGATAACATCAAGTCAGCCATGTTGAAAAGGCAGCTTCATATACTGTCAGAAGAATTTGCATATCACAAGAACCACCTTTATTGAATTTAAACTACATCAGATTCAACAACTGAGAGTATGTCAAATTAAGTGCAAGACGCTTAAAGCTAAAAGATATAAGTATATAAAATAAGAGTTTGAGGAAAATGTTTAGTGTAGACAATACAATGCTTGTACATAGCTAATGATTTTCTGAGATGTACCAAATGTTTCTTCTCTGGACTTGTAGTCTGTCTAGAATATTAGAAGGAGTAATTTTGAATGTTTAAGTAACTTTATGTGTTGGACAGATGTGGTAGGTGCTCCCGCCACCCTGACTGAGAAGCAACTCAGCTGATCATGTTAGGATGCTTTACTGTTGGTACACTCACCTATTCTTCACTGGACAAATTATTTTTTACGTTCCTCAGACAATCAAAAGGACAAATACTAATAAACATAATTTTACTTTATGCAGACTCAGGCTGTCTATCACCAAAGGATCCTTTCTGCTCTATTTGTAATGTTCTGGTACTCAAGATACAAAACCGGAGCTGTTTTTGTAGCACCTGAGTGTGAAATTCCTTGCTGCTTTTAAATGCATTCAGTGCTGCCAACTGTGACCCTATGCGTCAAAGACAAGAATAAGAAAGGAAATATATATATATATTTTTGAGAAAATACATTGATTTTTTTTCCTGTCTGGTCAAAAGAGTGAAAAAATAAAAATAAACAATTGTGTTACTGTTTTGTTTGATTGATTATTGTGACCGTAAAATTTGCTAAAAAGGGTACAGTAGGTGCAACAGAACCTACTGTAGAGACCTATTATTGGCTAGTTTCCTGGTGAGCTTTTCTTGAAATGGAGCAACTTAGGTTTTTGTTATTCTTACAAAAATGTTTTTTTTTTTTTTTTTATGTCTCCCATTAGTTTAATCTTGGCTGCTCAGTGGCGCAGTGGTTAGTACTACTGTTCTCCCTGAGCATGCGTGGGTTCTCTCCCGGTACTCCGGCTTCCTCCCACAGTCCAAAAACATGACTGTTAGGTTAATTGGCTTCTCTAAATTCCCCTTAGGTGTGAGTGTGTGCGTGAGAGGTTGTTTGACTCTTTGTTGCCCTGCAATGTACTGGCAACTTGTCCAGGGTGTACCCTGCCCGTAGACAGCTGGAGATAGGCACCCCTTGTGACCCCACTCATGAAAAGCGTGTCAGATAATAGATGGATGGTTTAATCTTGGTGTCACCTCCCTCAACATTTAGGGCTCGATCCCAATACCTCATATTTTAGCTCCTGCCTCTTTCTCCCTTTCTAGCCTCTAGCTCTTCACCTTTCTCAGGTCAACAGTAAGAACAGTACCCAGGCTGAGAAGTATTGTGCTTTCTTAACCTCACTCCTTCCTAAATGTTTTAAGGGGTCCTCACCTGGGAAGATTGACTTCATGTTGGTGTTGGGCTTCAGTTAAAACCTGTTGGTGTTGGGATTCAGTTAAAACCTGACAGAAAATCAGGAATAATAGAGTAGCTTGGTATTTTTTTGTGGTATTGTTGCTCAAACAACAAAATTGGTCCTGTGGGGTGTGATTTTGGACCTATTCCAACAAAGCATTAACCCTGGTCTGTCAAGTGTCACCCATTTGGGCTGAGACTAACGCATCTCAGTGTCTTCACACGCTCTCACTCCATATGCCCAAATATAAACACTAGAAAATTATGGACATTAAAAATCAACTCCATTAAACTTATTCATATAAAAAATACCATGCCGATGAAAATCCAGTCAGTATTTTCAACACAACCTCAGTGCTAACATACGAGGACATGCCAGGTTCAAATCCAGTCTATATTTTTGCACCAGCTCACCTGACAGCAGTGGAGTGGTTTGCGAGTGGTTATCACGAAGTATGTCATTTGAATTTTATCTTATTTTATCTGGATTAAGATAATTCAATTTGTAAATTAATGAAGATTTGAAGCAAAATAGTACTTGGGTAATATGAAGAAAATATCAACTAGCTTAGATTATCAATGTGGAGAGTGAGTGTAGGATCATATCAATCATATCTTTTGTTCTCTATACCTATTTCTGTTTTTATTTAGCTTTACTCCTTGTTTGCTCTAGTTTAGCAACGTGATTTAGTCCCAGTTTTAGTCCATGTTTTGTTCATAAGTTAAATAATTATTGCTCAGTCTAGTTTAATAATCTCCCATTGGAATTTAAAACTGATTAAACCAACTAAGTAAACAAATCTCTGAATTCTTAAAGCTTTCAGGTATGCCTCACAAACCCTGTAGGAGGTCCACAAAAAGAAAAAAGAACCATTGCATTTTATTTTCAAAAAGATCAGAGAAAATAGTACTACATACAGTAAGACCCAGAGAGGATGTGCAGAACAATGTAGTTCTCCAAGACTGATAGAGGAGGAACCAGAGGGGTGTTCTCATTTTATTATTACTTATCTTATTCATTAATCCTTATTATCAACAGAGATGGCAAAAGTACTCACTTTCCGTACTTGAGTAAAAGTACAGATACTTGTGTTAAAAAATACTCTGGTAAAAGTGGAAGTACTGATTAAACTTCTTTACTCAAGTAAAAGTAACAAAGTACAGGTTTGTAAATTTACTTAAAGTATAAAAGTAAAAGTAGAAACCACTTTTTTCATGCCGTTGCCTACATTTTAAATGGATGTCTGCCAATAGGACTAGATCTCCGTTGTGTTCATTTTCAATCATCTCGTCATCCATACTACTATGCTAACGCCACCGCCACCAAGCTGCAATGATTTGCCGCGAATTAATACCGCCGAATCTGTCGATTCATCTTGTAGTGGTGCGTCAAATGCAACGTAGATTCCCATCCAATTAGATAGAATTTGGTATTGATGACGTGAAAAATAATAACAGTTACTCCATTGAAATGATTCAAAACTAAAGTAACGAGCCAATTTTTTAAAATGTAAGGAGTAGAAAGTACAGATATTTGTGTAAAAATGTAAGGAGTAGAAGTAAAAAGTCGCCATAAAAATAAGTAGTAAAGTAAAGTAAAAATATCAGAAAAATACTTGAGTACAGTAACGAAGTATTTGTACTTCGTTACTTCCCATCTCTGATTATCAACCACTTAATATGTTTAAAAACTCAATTTCCATCCAACTGAAACATCCAGAGAAGTGCTTTCTTTTGCATGGAATGTTTTTATAGACTCTACATCCCCCTGGAAGGTCTGAATTGTTTAGCTGTTTTGTCAATTGTAAAAAAAACTAAGATAATGACTTAGCTTCCTTAGCTTATTACCGAATATTCATACATAATGTAATTTGCATGGGATTCGATGTCAGTGGCTCCTGTTTTAGTGCCAGTAATCAAGTAATAATTTTTTAGATTAGCATTGGGTATTTTACTTGAACTAGTATAATTAATTAAAAAAAGTTGTAAAATTCTTAGTTTAGACTATATTTAAGATGGAAGTATTTTAGTAGGGCCTTTTCTTCTTTACTTCACTTTCTTGAAAATTATCAAAATATAGGACATAATGTATATTGTGTGAAGTTTTTTCCACTTAACTACGGATAACTTATTATCATTCAGTAACATTTACAGTGCTATAAAAAAAATTCTCATTTTGCAGCTTTGTTCCAGTTAAATCCTCTGCAATCCTCTGAAAACCAAGGGTTGCCTGTCCAAACTATTTCAAAATTTCACTCCAGGGTTTGGTAAAAAGTTGGCGGCCCTGTTAACCAGTCTTGCTATGACCATTCCTGTCTCTATTTCACTAAAAGGGGGGAATACCAACAATCAGGGATTCACATCAGGGCAGTCAGAATAGATCTTGCTTTTGTGTAATAGACCAGGAAACAATGGTAAAAAAAAACAAGCTACATCCACATTAACACGCGTACGCACAACTCAAATTCTATCCTCTCTAAACAATAGAGGGGTGTAGAGAGGGTCTGAATGAGCTCTGACGATTCTTTCTCCTAAAAATCATAAAACATAAATTTGAAGGATTGCATGAGTAAAATACCACATTATGACACCTTTAAAACTACTATTGTGTGTAGTTTACAACGTTTTGATGTCCTGTATTTACCAATTAAGCATCAACTGGTAAAAAGTTACTGTTTTACAACCATAAAAGAAAACCTAAATGTTTCAAAGTCCATCATAGAATGTAGTGCAATAGTGACAAATTAAACTTTGACACACTTTTATATTGCAGTGTTTGATGTTTTGTGTGTCACAAAATAAACCAAATAAATTAAAGCCCCTAGCGGAGTGGAAGGAGAAAAAACAACAAAATGGAAAATACGCCATCCTTGACTTTTAATGAATTATTCAATGTGAAACGTTAACAAGAACATTTAAATGCGCTCCAAAGGCCGTTATAAAAATATGTCAGGCAATTAAATCTCACTACTACTGGCTGTAAGAGGCCTTAAGGAAAGTGGACGATCCTTTTATGTCCATCTTAATTGCAGTGAATGAATGAGGTGTGCGTTAAGATTTGTGTTTAAGGGCATCGAGGTTCAGTCAGAAGAAGGTTTGCAAGCCAGCATGTAAAAGTAGTTTACTATCACCGTCACTTCTGTGTCGGGAGAGGATGCATTCATGGCACTCAGCAGTCTGAAATAAATACAAAAGGAAACTGGTTACAACTGATTTGAAAAAAAAGGACCTAAATGATAAAATAATGGAGATGGAAGGAGACAGTGCCTGGAACTTTGTGTAAATGTTAACCCGCCGTTAAAGTAATTAAACTCAATGTCAAACTGCTTTTTTCATGCATGTAAAAGTTGTGCCTCAGCACTTCTACCACATATATTGTGCTAGCTTAGCTGTTCAGCCCTGTCACTAGCAGGGGAATTAATGACGGCTGTGTTATCGAAGCAGTCAAAACCTTCGACGGTTAAGCTTAGCCAAGCAATGCCTGGATTTTCTGATTAAAAGTCCAGGACCATGACTGTATTCACAGACACTTTTCAGCAGTTTTTGATAATGATGGATGGAACAACGGTGGAGATTATGAGAAGGGAGGTTAAAGATTGGGACCCGGTTGTTAACGGTCAGGCTGGGGGATGTTTGAGGGTGATAACTCACTTGTTCAGGATGCTATTTGAGAGACGTTCGGCTTCAGATGGGTCCTTTTGTTTTAGCTGCTGGTAGTTAGAGAAAGTTTCCACCATGCCTATAAACCCACTGACCGAAAGGGTCCGTCTTACTTGGCAGGACTCATTCCTACAAAGACATTCATAGTTACTTTGTATTTAAACTTAATATGACAGGCTACTAATGCATATTAAATCAATAAGGACTCACCATTCCTTGTCCAGGTAAGAGCAAGAGTTAAACATGTCAAAGTAGAGCTTCTTGGAGCTTGGTCCTAAATAAGAACTTCTGTAGGGCAGCAAGGCAGCGTAGAACTAGAAACAGAGTTTGACAGATTTCTTAACACAACCTATGAATGGAATTATTGCAGCAAAGTTTTCATTTGAACCGCTTCGTATGCTTTTACAAATGCATGGATGCTTAAGTCCTAAGATTTGTAACGGACCTCCTGGCAGATGTCATTAAGGGCGTCCGAAACATCTCCATATTCAAGGTTCATGTCCATGGTGTAGCTCAGGAGTGCAAGGCAGCCTCCAGGCCTGAGCACCCTGTCGGCCTCCTGGAGGAACCGCGGTCGATCGAACCAGTGGGCCGCCGTCATGGCCGTCACAAGGTCCACCTCGCCAGCTGTAAATGGTAACTCCTCTGCAGGGGACTGTCTGCGGTGGGAAACAGAAGAGTGGAGTGTGTTGTAGTCATTTATCAAAACCCCAAGCCTGCTTAAAATACCCATCAATATTAGATAAACTTACTGCAGTTAAACCACTGAGATATACTCAGTATATTGAGATATACAATACTTTAATTTTACTATATGTTTTATTTAAATATGTCTGTTATCTTTTCATTTATCAATCTACAGATTATTTTGCACCACACTTTTGAAATTGATAACAAAAATTATAAACCAGGTGATACTTTTACTCTTCTTAAGCTCCATTTTACTTTATTTTATTGCATTTAGTAACACTAAATGCTGCATATGAATAGGAGGCCATAAACAGCCCTACCAGAGCTGCAGAGATTTTATGCTAGGTGGTGAATGATCTGATCATTGAACTGTTGATAGCAGCAATCACTATTGGCAGTAATAGAGGTCAGAGAAATCTTTTTTTTTTGCTTAGGACCCCTTTGAAGCTCTGCCAGCCCTGATCTTATGTCCATAACTGAGGCAGAAGCTTTTATTAGTGTCATGAAATTCACAATTTTATTCATGGGAGGTTTTTTTTCTTTCTCGTGGAGTCAGAATATCACCAAATTTAACACCAAAAAAATACCTTTTGGGTTCATAACATATATTGTCTGGATTATGAAGAAAGCATGTTAATTTTAACAGTAGGCCTACACAAGGACACCATTCAACCCTTAACCACAGATTTAGGCCTGTTTCAATGTGCATTCTATATATTACCCCATTTACACTACCCTTGAATAACCGTGCCAAGACCGGTCCGAGCTTGGTAACTGAGAGAACTTATCGTGTGTAAATGGAAAGTAAACTGAACTGAACCGAGCTAGACACATAACCGAACCGCGCTAACTGCAGACCAGTTCCAGGGGTGGGCTCGGCTCGGTTTTTCCCTGGCTCGGTTCTCTGATAACAAAAGCGCATGAGCAGAACGCCTCATCTCCGTCTGGCTGCACATCCCGATTCACACTCCATTCCAGTAGTTGGCACTAATGCCCCTCTGGAAGTTGCTTGCCAACCAACACAAAACAGAAGAAGAAGAACAACTATAAACAACAATCGAATTCTTCTCCACGCAACATTTTAAATAATGGCTTCAAAAAAGCGTGGTGCGACCTGGGATGACCATTTTGATTTGCTTGATTCCCTCCTTCTTTGTCTTCTTCTTCTTGTGTTTCATGACGGTTGGCAAACAACTTTTGGTGTATTACCGCCACCAACTGCTTGATTTCCTCCTTTAATACTGGCAGTAATACCGCAGATCGTCACTAGGAGGCAAGGAGTCGAGGAACCGAGATAGCGTGATGTGTAAACAGTCGTCAGAACCAAGCTCGGCCTGGTTAACTGATCTGAACTCGGACCGATCTCGGCATGGATCGGTTTTTCAAGGGTAGTGTAAATGTATAATGTGAGGTACAATAATACTAGCGTTTAAAACAAAATGGACAGGATTTACCTATTCACAGATACTGAAGAATCTACAATTTGAAACCCCAAATATACAGTTACTAACAAGTAAGAAAGTTCTGATTTGTGATTTAGTTCCAATGTTTTTGTCAACTGCACATCATGTCATGCCTAACCATATTGGTATGACCACTGGTTTGTGAAAATCCAAAACAAGAGCCCCTGCTATTTGTTATCAGTTATGCCTAAAAGGTTTGATCGGTTTAGTAAGCTTCACTCAGTGTTTAGTTGAGGTACTGCCTTACAAATGTTATTCTTTTCAAAATGCCAGGACCTGTGTTATATATGTGTTGCTGATGTGTCAGTCCCATGCAAATCTACTCAACCTTAATAATGACTGGTTTGATTTTTTATTTACTAACACCAAAACTGGACTATCTCTTCTTGGGCTTCTACTTGGTTCTTTATGTTCAAGGTTTTAAAAGCAGCACTTATCTAAGTGACATATTCTAGAATGTTGTTTGTGTTCACCTGTAAGAAGTGTTTGGTGGGTTGCTTTTGGCCAATGCCCTGTCTATCATTGCCTGGCTGACGTCTGTCCCGACCACCTTGTTGAAGTATGGTGCCAAGAGGACAGTCACTTGCCCTGGACCGCAGCCAACATCGACAGCAAGTTCGGACCTCTTCGGTTTCTGAATGGAAGAGAATAGAGTTTTCCAAAATTAAACAATTTAATCCAACTTGGTCTTATTCTAAAAATTCATTATGATGGTTATGAAATTGAAAATGATTTGCAGAGTCAAGAAATCACTTAAACAAAAGTTATCTGATAACATGGAATTGGTTAAATATATTTCAGAACGCTGCTGATGCCAAAAGACACACCAATTCATTTCAATTTCCCAAGAAATATCTTGATGATGCCTTAATGAACAGAGCTGCATGCTCAAAAGAAAATCCACCAAGACAAATGGTTTGAAATACCTCCTGCCTGTCACTAGAGGGAGCTCAAGTTCCCAGAGTACTTAGTCTAAAGGGCTGGTTATACTCCTGCAGCAGTGTGTCGCAGTTAGCTTATCGCAGGTATAACGCAGATATTTTTGATTTATGCCCAATTTTGAAGCGTGGTCTGCGCTATGTTATTCAATGGCACAATGCAAGAGGGACTATCACGAACTAGCTAGGATTGTGGGTGTCGGTGTGTCAGTTTGACTAGCTTGTTCGCCATCTACAACCCTTCATCCCACGCCGGATGCCCCACATCCAGCATATCTGGCATCTTTGCATATCTGCGTTAACTGTGAAACACGCAGACAACCTAGTTTCTGAGCATAAACCAGGCTTAAGTAAGCACATGGAACTACAAATCAGTGTAACATAGACAAAAATGACAAAATACATGAACAGCATTAGTATAGTTTCCAATAAAATAGGAGAATTTGAACGTAAAGATAAAACAAGGTGCCTGTGTTCAAAGTTCCCATCCTCTAAATCTCTAAAATCTAAGAAAGGTAATACAAACTTACCCTTTTCTCTATGTAGCTCATTATTACGCTGACCATTTCATGTGGGGCCACTCTGTACTGCAGGTAAGAGGATGCATGATCCTTGCCTTCAAAAAGCCGCACAGCCATCTTTTTAGTAAAAACAATAGGCACCAGAGTGGAGGGAAAAAATAAGAGTAAAAGGCATCAATCCAGACTGGAGAATAGACAAAGGAATTTGAAGTTCCTGAATTCAGAAGGAAACAAATTATCTCAAACTAAACGAGAGAGAAGCAAAAGCTTTTGCTGCATCTCCACACTGACTATCATAGTACCATGATTCAGCAGTAAAAGCTTGACTATGTTTAACCAGCAAGTTATAGATTAACAGTTTGATAGTGTTTCCTTTTGCAAGTAGCTTAAAGGTCAACAATGCGTGTAGTTGTATTGTTCCCTAAAGAAATAAACAGGCCTGTTTACAATCAAAAATAAGACACACTGGATTAAAATGTGATGCATAATTTAGTTATTTGGGAATACAAACACAAAAGTTCAGTCCACAGACTTAAACAAGGATTTTCTTTGCTGCACTTTTAATTTTTCATGTTGCCAGAGCTCCTTTTGTTTTATTCTAATCTATGTACAATAATAGGTCTCTTGAATTTAACAAATCCTAGAGCTCCAGAAGATTGCCCTCTCCTGGCTACACTGTCCAGCTCCACTAGGGTCAGAAGGTATGGATATAAAGCCCTTCCAGCTAGTGTTCTCACAGTGGATCATGGCTGAGAGAACCTCCAAAGGTAGGATCCCTACATGGATATCTAATAGGGGAAGCTAAATACAATATGCCTGCGCCAGTTCTTTGTCATTCAAATTATGGCCTGACCCAGACCACTAACCTGGGTCATAGCTTGATTCTTGCTTAGAATGAAAGTCCAGTGGCCTCCGATTGAAGCCTGTTTTGTGGTTAATTCTAAAAGCTTGTATCCAGGATCTTGCTCTTCCAGTAGAGATCCATATTTCTTAATCATAGATCAGGGTCAGATTGTCGATAAACAAGTAACTTGAGAGATTTCTTCAATGGCCTTAATCTTACCTCACCACAACAGACCAAGGTGGCATAACTGCGGACAAGGACCCAATGCTTTCTGTTCCATTCTAGGATGATTCTTGACCGACACACCAAAGAACCTCAACTCTTCCATTGAGGCAGATATTTTAGCTTCTTATAATTATCTCTAGATATCTGCCTTCTGCTTTATTTTGGATTATATGTTGACATTAAGATTTGATCCACTTCATTTTGTTGTCAGCACTTCATTTGCCTTCTATCCTCTTAACTTAATGTGCTCCCTTTATTTTTATTTTATTTTTTTGTCTGATTCAAGATTAAAGCTTTTCTGCGTCTTTTAAATACTCAACCACATTATCTATCAGGCTTGTCTCCATACAAAGTGTAGCCTTTAAATGATGCATACATCCAAATAAGTTCAACTCTCATTTTAATGGCCAGGGGACAGTGAATAAAATCTCAGCAGTCGCCTTGTAATTAAAAGGTTGCATGTATTGTCTGGGCATGGTTGGGTTCCTTACGGCTTGCCCTGCAATTGAAAGGTGACTAGTCTATGATCTGCATTTGCATTTTCTGCATTTACAGGATACTTTCAACCCCCTATTCATTGTCTACAGGTGAAACACCTTAAGATTTTAGCCAATAATGACAAATGATGACAGGAAACATCCAACACATACAGAACGCGCATCTTCAAGGACTTTTGCACTTTTGGCTGATTACTCGAGGGGAAGGAAGGTGTAATAGATATTTATACAGTAGTTTTTTTTTTTTCAGAAAAAGTGTATCTAAACTACTGACAAGCTTTATGAACCTTTCATGCAGGCAGATTCAATACATTGAGGCCCCTAATTTAAAAGGTATTCATGCTCCTTCTCTGTATTCTTGGGTTGCTTTTTTGGGCTATTCTCGTGCTGCCCCTTCCTTATTTGTGTGTAGACCTTTTTTGTGCACTCTTGACATCTGCTTTCACTTTGAGGGTGGAACCAACCTGAGAAAGCAACCCACCTGTGACTGGCCATTTTTCAGGAAACCTCCTAAGACATTATTGTTTCTTCCTTGTTGCTCCTAGTGTCAAGCATCTTCTAGGCAAGTGCGTGTCTCTATAGGAGTTACAAATTGGTTAAATTAAGTCATCCCTATGTAAGCTAGTGACATCCAACTATTGCAACATGCTCTAAAATGAGGATTGAAAGTTGAACATGGAACTTGAGCTAAGCTAATGTTAGCTTCATTGTTTATATTGAGGAAAATGAGGCTTGAGTGAAATATGGTTTATAATCGAACACAGATATTTGCACTTGTAATCCGTTTGCAGCTACTGCTAAGCATGTTTTCTTTTGTTTTAGACAAAGACACAGATTCACGTGGGAGAGAATCTATGCATTAAAAGCAAAAAAAGCATGAACTATTGTGGGTGACATATTAGAGGCCTCATGGTATTGAATCTACATGCATAAAATGTTAAAAATTTGCATTTTGGAGAGTAGTTCACATGCTTTAGTTTTAAATAAAACGGCTCACATGAGTATTTATCATGTGTATGTCCTTTTGGCAGAATTTTGACCTCTTAGAGCTAAACTAGCAATGCAACATATATTGTCTGGGAGTTTTCATTAAAAAAATTAAACTAATCACATGCAAAGATTTCTTATTTATCATACAGCAAAGCATTCCTACAAGTTTATATTCAGGTTCTGCATTTTTTTATGATCTGAATTTATATTCAAGGTTCAGTAACCATCAGTCTGACTGTGTAGATGATTTCGATTTGATATAAACCAGCTCTGTTAGGACGAATTGGTAACAAGGCTAAAATATCCTTAAATCAGTACCTCCTGTAAAACCACTGTTCAGCTATATTATAGTTTTTATTTTTTTATTTTATTTTTTTTATTGACTGTGCAATATGCTGAATGTGCAATATATGTGAATAGGATAGTCATACCACTACCTCACCGTTGTTCCTTACCTACCACACTATAACGTTATAGTAAATCCACCTGTATATAAGCCATCCGGATTGTACATATGTCACCTCAAACCTCTGTGCTACTACCTTGTATTTTTTATTTCTTATTTTGTTTTTCATTATGTGCGATTTATCGTGATATACTGTATATACCTGGATGACATGTGTTGTGAATTTGGCGCTATATAAATAAACTGAATTGAATTGAATATACTGTATATATATTGTTTGTTCTTCTTAATGCACCTTTTTCCTCCTTGTTTGGTCCTTCTTTTATTACTATGCCAATATGTGACGAGTGAATTTCTCCGCTGTGAGATGAATAAAGCTTATCTAATCTAATCTACCTCCATGCAAAGACCAGTTACCTTCAACCCAAAGATGATTCAAACGATCATCTCATTTGTTGATTTCAGTACTTTTGAAGAAAAGGAAAAGTATGCACTTGCTTTTAGGATCCAGCAGATGGCATTAAATGCAAACCTAAATATATTCCGAGAAGCATGACAGAACAGGGATTCAGAATCCATTACATCGTCTTGTTTCATTCTCTATATGTTGGTTTTATTTTTATAAAATATGAATTCAAGAAAGGCTAAAATATTAATTTAAAGTCATTTTAATTTTGACCAAAATTGCTTCACAACAAAAACATGCATTTTGCTCATTCATCATACATTGATTGTTCAAATCCATCTGATCAATATTAACTGTCAAATGTGATTTGCAACCAGCCTTCTTTTGGGGAAGAAAATGAGGGCAAGAAGGTGTAGGACGTCCTCTCCACAACCCCTCACCCCTCTATGATGGTGTGTTCAATCATGCCTCATGTCTTCCAATCAATCACATTGGATCAAATCTGTCAGCTGGAGTCAAGTCACCATCCACAGCTGGGCGTGTAGAGGTGAATCATGCTTGTGGAGGACAACGCTGTCAACACATATTTAAGCAGATATGACCAATGCATCAGCAAGGCTTTACCGCCGAGTCTCATTACGGTTTTTGCAAAGCAATTCCTCAAACACATGGGAGCCATAAGACAAAAGTTAATGGACTCTAGTGCAAAAGCACTATGTATAGCCTTAATATCTGCAGGCAAATAAAAACCAGAGGGGTGTGGGTGTGTGTGGGGAGAGTTCCCATCGGTTGTGATGAGCCGGGTAGCTAATGCTCCGTGGGGGAATTCTCCTGGAAAGCAATCACACAGGTAATCCACACTATATGAGAGAGAGAATTATTACAAATACTGGATTTAGAGCAGGCTTCATGAAAACAGGTTGCAAGAAAAACTGTTTCCAAACACGAGTGTTAGAAGTTATGGATTGTGGGGGAAGAGATAAACGAGCAGGCTATTGCGTGCACGAGCATTATGCTTTAAAAAAAATAAACAAATCTCCCTGAAATAAATGCATGAGAGCAGAGTATACCTGCACACTGATTTCTTTCCTTCCTCTGAGAGTGCCAGCAGAGAGAAGGAAAGGCTTTTGGATAGATGGTGGGGGGGTGGATAGATGGGTATTGAGTGTAAAATCCCACTTCCCTGCAGAAATCTCAGCAGGTAGAGGCAGATTGCAGCTGTTGGATGAAATCCATGAATTTACAAAACAGTCTTGCTGCCTCATTGAAAGCCATGTAATTTGGTGGGGAAAAATAATGTCACGGATTTTGGAATGCGGACCCCTGAGTCCTCCAACACAATCTTTACTGTAAAGGAGCATAAAAACCTTGAAATGAAAAAGGATGACAAGCAAGAATGTTGTAATCTGGAGCTACCGGCAGTCGTTTATTGATCCTAATAAGCATAGAAATAAAAAAACACAAACTTCAAAAATCAAATCTACCTATATTTGCATGGTTGGCCAAAAAAGTTGTAAAATGTACGTAGAGATGTTTGATTGATCAGCTCTTTTCTGTCAAAGCAATTCTGTTCATAAGGATTAAATAAGCATTGCATCCAATTAAATCTTATCTGAAAAATAAACATTAAATCTTATTAGGAGAACATGTGAATCACATGTTAAAAAATACCCTGATTTTAACATGAAACACTTCAAATTCATAGACTTTTACATGTGATTCATTATATCAATCATAACTTCAGGTTCTGTGTTTAGTTTAATAGGATGAAAATATTAATAAATATTTTTTTTTTACAAATTTAAAAACAATAATAATAATAATAATAAACAAAGCACAGTTTAATGATACCTACATGCAGGAAAAAAACTCAATATGTGGTACACATGTG